AGGGGGAGGGAAAGGGGGAGGGAAAGGGGGAGGGAAAGGGGGAGGGGGGAATTTCCCCTCCGTACGGGGGAGGCCGTCGAGTTCTCTCGCGCCGGACGACCGAGCTCCGGTCGAGCCCATCGGTGTGGGCATCCGTAAGGAGAGGGCACGATCTGCGCTCGACCGTCGCCCCGCGTCTTCGGAGAGAAGGCAGAGACGGGAGCGGGGAGAGGGAAGTCGAGCGAGTTCGGAAAGCGCGCGTCCGAGGCGGATCGCCCGCATCGTCGACGGTGACGAAACCCGGACCTTCTCTTTCGAGCCGAGGCGAGCCGCGGGCGACGGAGGTCGTTCGCGACTCGTCGTCGCGAGAAGGGAAACGGGGGTCGGGGAAACGCTCCGAGAGGGTGGGAGAATCGCTCCGAGAGGTTCTTCGGTCTTCCCGGGAGCTGCAGATCGGGGTTAAAATACCCGTTCGCAACCGTAAGGCGGGGTTCCCGCTCTCGATCGATCGACGATCTTTCGTCGATCTCATCGTTCCCGCGTGAAAATAACCGAGGACTCGAATCGCCGTCGCGCCGGTCGTCCCGTCGTTCGCATCCGTCGTTCGGATGGCACGATGCAGGCGAAGTCGGGTACGCTCTCTCCGCGATGATTTTTGTCGACGATATCGCTTCTTCGATCGCGAGTGTCGATTCTCGCTCGCGATACCGTTTTCGATCGTCGTCGTGAGGTTTCCGTTTCTTCGTGTTCGAGGTGGGTGGTGAAGCCTCGGCGATCGGAAGGGCGGGCAGCAGTGGCCATGCCGAAGGTTCCTCCTGAATCCCGGATCCGTCCGCAACCGAAGCTCAAGGATTGCTCCGTCGTCGTGAAGGACCTGTGCTCCGCGTTGCCGGTCGAGTACCGGCGGTCGTTGTCGAGGAGGAGATCCGTGTCCCTCCGTCGGCTGTGGCGAGCCCGTCGAAAGTATCCGTGGCTCCGAGATCTCCTGGGTCTCCGGAGGAAGAGGCCGAGGACTCCGTTCCGGAAGAGAGACCGGCCGGACCCGCAGAAGAGGGAAGCGCTCGGTGGCCGGAGCGTCCCGTCGAGAACGGACTTCGTCCGGACGCCGTCCGTCGCGAGGGACCTCAGGGTGTCCCTGAAGAGAGACGAGACCTCCGGGAAGTACTTCGTGGACCCCCGGGACGTCGTCGGGCCTCGAGCGGATCTCTCCGCTTCGGGGGTCGTCTCTTCGGAGTCTCGAGATTCCAAACCCTTCCGCGAGGCCGAGGATAAAACGGGATCGTCGGAATCGGGAAGAGGATCCGAAAGACGGGGAAGTTCCTCGGATCTCGCCCGAGCGTCTCGAGACACCGAGAAGGGTGGAGCCTCTCTCCACCGCGTCTCTCGTGTCGTGGAACGAGTACTGTGGGACGTGATCCGAGACGTCGTCGATCCGTCCGCTTCCGAGATGAAGAAGAAATTCGAGATGATCGTGCGACGGAGAAAGAACGAAGCGGAGACGGTCTCGCCGAACGGAGACGTCGCGTCCGCCGAGCGTCTCGACGTCGTGCCGCGAGATCGAGGCGCGAAATCCTCGGAGTGCGTGAAGACTTCGTGTCGCGAGGGAGACCTCGTTTCCTCGGACGATGCGAACGTCGTTTCGCCGAATCTCGATGGGAGATCTCCGGAGGATGCGAACGCGTTTTCGTCGAACGGAGATACCAGAACCGACGCGAGTGCACCTTCGCAGGACGAGGACTCGAAGTCGTCCGAGGAAGCGAAGACGTTCGCGTCGGGAGACGTCGAGTCCCACGAGAACGCGAAGTCGGAGTCGCGGATCGGAGACGCGAGGTCGTCGGACGGTGGTCACTCGGTACCGCTCCGCGGCGACGAGGAACCCGTCGCAGACGGAGCGACGACGAAGAGCGAGAATCGGGGCTTCGGGTTCTATCGCGACACTCTGGTGAGTCCGACGGGCGTGCCGGTCGCGACGGAACGGATGCATCGTCGCGAGACGGAAACGGCGAACGTCTGCGGTTCCTCGACGGGGGAACCGTCGTCCCGTGCCGCGTCCGAACTCCGATCCCCGAAGGAAGAGAGGAAAGAGGAAGGGACCCGAGATCGCGATCCGAGGAACGGGAACGACTCCGACGCCGCGAGGAAGAGCGAGACTCGAGCCGAAAGGAAAGGTTCCTCGACCAGAGCCGATGCCGAAACGAGAAAGAGAGTCCCGAAGGAGGAGAAGCAACCGAAACGTGAGTTCGCTCTCGGCTCTCCGAGGATGATCGCGTTTCTTAAACGTTCCGGTCGATTCGGCCGCGAAAGACGCATTCGAGGCTTCCGTGCGACGGGTGAAGGGGAAACCTCGGTCGTTAAATATCACTCGTGCTCCCGGTGGTGAGACGTGGCGAACGGAGGGATTTCCCTCGGACGTCGTGCTTCCCGACTTTCGTTCGTTCGATCGGGCGAAGCGGGATCCCGATGGATCTCTCTCGGCCGACTCGAAGGTGCCGTATCCGACGACACCGAAACGCGTCGCGAACCGTTAGCCCCCCTCACCCTCCGACGGTCTGTCGGACGCCGGTCGTCCGGATCTCCCTTCGACTCCGAGCCTCTCACGGATGGGGCGATCCATCGGACGTTTCGTTCCGAAGCGAGTGCTTTTTTTGCTGCCGAATGGACGACACTGCTGCACGGTCGACCGTCGGGAAGCGTCCCGGCCGATCGAAGTGCTCTCTCCCTCTTTTTTGCATTTTAAGAGATTCCGACGCGGGACGGAAGAGGTAAAAGCCAACCACAAATCGTTCGTCTCTTTTGCGCGTCGGGAATCTACTCGCCGTTCGTCGCGTAGCTGGAATCCGTCGATACTTCGTCGCTCGACGGGGAACCGATCACCTTGGCAGGCACCTCTGACCACTTTTTCTCTCCGGGACTCTGCATGGGAATTAGGTATTCCATTCCGGGGTGGACCATGGCAGGGGTCGGAGAGGACTACATACTGTACAGTATAACACGCCCTCCATGTAATTATTACTTTGTAAGACTTCGTCTGCATCGAGTAATAATTACATGACAGTAATAATTCTTGACAGACCCGAGACGGATGTATTGGATTTGTGATCACCTGCTCTAATTTTTCCTCTATGCACACGCACAAACTTACACCGCATCTGTTATCGTACGAAACAAATCGCAGAAAATGGGAAAAGTATCCTCGTGAATAGGAACGTTTTCCTTGACCCTGGAATTTGAAGGCGACAGTCGTGTTTTGCGACGAGAGAAATGTTCATGCTTTTTAAGAAAAAAAAACCAGCAGGACGTGATTCGGGTACAGGTAAGTGGATCGATAAATACAAATGATATTTATATATATTTATGCACCTGTCACGTGATCGTCACTCGCTCCTGGGAAATTCCCCAAAGCCATATCCTTGCCAAATATTTCACCAGGAGTTAGTCCAAAGAAAAGACACAGAACGATCCGAGCATATCAAAGGCAAATTGCTGATTCGATTTAAATTCAGTAAAGGAACGAAAATTTATTCTGAAAATATGCCATCAGGGTCCGATAGACAGAAGGCCAGAATGTACGAAGAAATCGACAAAACTATTTGCTTCGGAATGAAACTGAGGAGCCCACGCCACGTCTTTGTGGGCTACAAAATCGGCCAAACCAGATTCACTATCGTTAAATAGCAACTTTTGCCTCATCGAAGTGCCAATTTTTTGTCGTCGAAGCGATGCGGTAGGTACGATTAGATTCTTTATCACTCCCCATGATAGGTCAAATTTCCATTTCGAAAAGAATCATGCTAAACCTTGTCGTGACTTGTCCCATCGCGTCGACCGCTATTAGGTGCTATTAGATGCATCTCGACTCGTCCGGAAAAAAAAAAACTGGATGGGTTCCACGAAATCGTCCACTTCGTTACTTAAAAGCCAAATGGTTTTCTCACTCTAATGCATTTCCGGCACTTGAGTGAAAATTAATTGAAGGGTCTGTTGACGTGATCCAGTAATCACCATGACGGGTGAGGGGGGAGGGGGCTTCTTGCTTTCCATAAACTCATTCGAACATTGCCATGCATGAATGGGCGCGGTAGCGTCCATTATCTTTTCTTCAACCCCTTCCGGCGACAATATTCAACCGTCTCGTGTTCCTCTCTGAGGGCAACAACAGGAATGAAATGTGGCATACTTCTTCCACTCTCAACACAGAATCGCTCCAGCAAATTTGAAGCTCCATCTCCCCGGGATTGCGGAGAACAACGAATCTCCCTTTTGGGAGATGTGAATTTCGTTCCGGAATTTTTTTTTGTTCACTCACCTGGGTAGCCACTCCTGGGCAGTTTCCAGAGAAAGTGAACTACCAGATCAAAGATATTGACCTGGAGGTGACAAAAATCCCCTTTTTTTGCTTTCAGTGTACCATTTCGCCATAAAAAATGAAATTAGATGCCGTTAATTTAGGCTTAGTGCAATGGCTCCGGTCCCGTCCTGCAGTGTTGCTGGATATCATGCCGGCGTTATGTCAGATTCATGACTTCTTCAACCTTAGTATCGTTGTCTGGATCTTCTCTTTTTAATTTAGGAAACATTACTGTGCTGAATTCATGGGATGAACTGAGATTGAAGCGGTGGTTTGCAGTGGCCGATCAATTTGGTGGAATACGGAGATATCTCATCGGAAATCCTTAAATTAACACGATGGCGGCCAGCTCGTTTGTCATGCTCTCTAAATGCACTTTCTTCTCAGAACGAGTCGAGACGATTCGAGGAACTCTGGATAGGCTTAATGTTCCCCGATCACACTGAAATGGCTCATGAAACTCGAAAAGGACCTACGTTCGATCTAATGTTACACGTTCTCTGTTAAGTGGGCCATGAGAGACTGAAAAGGCCTGCGATTGGTCTAACGTTACACGTCCTCAAGGAGGTGTCGAAGACGTGGGATTAATCCTTGTTAGCCTAATTGGTCCGTAGGCCGAGGATTGAGTTTCTTTTGAAGGAAAAAAGGTAGACCTAGGCTTGACCCGAAGAGAGTCCGTCGGTTTAGCGTAAGCCTACCGCTAGTGAGTTAGGGAGGTTGAGGGTGAGGGTGAGGTTGAAGAAAGATAAACCATTGAAATTGGTTTTCACATTTGATCTCGTCGGAGCACTCATCGAGAATGACTGACGGGAACGGGGAAAGACGGGATTTCGGAGCCATCTCATTTCAATTGCGGAAACCTTGTTTGCTGGAGTAGCTGCTAAATGGGCAGGTCTATATTTCATAAGTTGGTTTTTAACCCAGGACCTTCCCTTAAAATTTTATTTTCGACACACTAGGTTAAAATGGAACTCTGTTAACATGTGGTATCATAGGTTAACCCAGCGTGGTAACAAATGGTACCATAGGATGCCGTGCTGATAGTCCACCCTGTTGGAATTCCTTGGGTTGGAATACCCCAAATTGATATAGTCATGTTAAATTGATCGCTAAAAAAGCAAGGAAGGTCACATGATCCCCGCTCCAGTTGAACTCCAGGAACTCAAAATTCCTGTAAGAACTCCAGGCGCTGTACCTTCCGTTATTCTACGATTTTGGAAACTCATGCATACAGCAAATATATATAATCCATTTTAAAATAATTGAAAAAGTAATATTTTCACCTCGATATAGAATTTCAGGCGATGCCTCTGATTGCTTCACAAAATGAAGAACTCCTGTATCTCCAGTCAACATTCAGCTAGATGCCTTGATTTTCTCAAGAGGTAAATCACCATGAATTTGTTCAAAAGGCACAAAGAATCGTTCCTTGTGAAAGTAAATTCAAACACTGGGTAAGCCTCTCTTGAATGGATTTGCGAGACTCGATTGCATTCAGACTTTGCGAGGGGAAAACGGCACTTGAATTCAAACTCACACAGAGCAACAATCAACACAGGCTACTAGCCAGGTGCCTGGCGTCATATTTCACCCCACTCGGGTGAAGCAAAGGGAGTTAAACGTACTGCTACAGCTAGACGGCATCGCTTGGGAGTGGGTGGAATAGAGAACTGTGCGGCCATTTACAGGTGTTTCCGGGAATTCTCTTCAATTTCAAGAGCATCTTTCGCTTAGAATATCTATCTCCTCACCACCACAGTTTCGTTTGGCCTAAGCAGTAAATAATGGGTGAAAGCTGATTTGATTGCCTCAACATTCCCTTGGCATCATCTTAAGTCTTATATATCGGTGATGACTCTTGGTTATGGCAATACATATCTCGCGATAATCACTTCTTCAGGTGGAGAGCAACATAGAATCTTATTCTATCTGGGGGACTGCTTCAGGACATTATTTGGCATGGATCAGCGTGATATTAAATCAACACAAAGGAGCGAGTTAATATGATGTGAATATTACTCAGCAGCGTAGAAACCGTTGTTCCTATGTTTAAATTAATTGCCTTTAGTATCTTCATCACAGTGCACATTGCTTACGCAACATTATCCGAGAGGCGGACACAAATTCCATGAACACTTTCCTATTGTAGATTTCCATCTAATTGGGGTGTGGTGCAAACTGATTTTTCATCCCAACCTGCCTGCCTCTACTAAAACCTACACTTCCAACACCAAACCTTCCAACACCAAAACTTCCAACACCAAACCTTCCAACACCAAACCTTCCAACACCTCTTCCCACTCCCCTCCCACACTATCCACCCCGTGCCACCACCCTTCCCACCTCCTAGCGATATCCTCCAACACCTTCACCACACTCTCAAACTCTGTTAACTTATGTTACCACGCATGGTTCCGCAGATTAACCTGTTACCATGTATGGTACAGCCGGTTAACCTACGTTACCACGCATGTTCACATAGGTTAACCTATGGTACATTTTGTGAGGGTTGAGCATCGATTCGGTCGAGCCTATGGACATTCTAGCGACATTATGTGAGATGTTCGTCACGGCACCCCAAACGTCAGTGAATACGACGGAACATTTTCATCCTCCATCGAAAAAATGAGGTTTTTCACGAAAATGTGGAAGCCAGTGCGACAAGTTTTGTCCTATGGTTAAGATGAAACCTCGGTTGCTAAGGAATACATGAGTTACATTTCAGCTATCTCTTTTCGACGGCTTGACAAGTGCGTCGAGTGCTAACAGACAAACAAACATTAAAAGAGACAAAAATACAAAGAAGTGGAATTTCCTGTGATTGTCAATGCTTTTTTCCAGTTGCGCTGAACGTTGCAACTTCGTTCAATAAGACGGTCTTAATCCGGTTTGAATTAGTTTCTCGATGTAATTCTTCTTCTGGAAACTTCTTGAAACACTTTGGGAGTGCATATTGCAATAATTTTGAAGTCCACGATTGAGACGAGATGTTCGCACGCGAATCCCTCCTTGGAAATAGGCTACTAGTGTAGCACTCGACGTTCCGTCGAGATTCATAGCACACCAGTCTTATTTCATTTTTCTTTCCTGCTTCCACCCGCGAAGCATCGCGTCTTTTGCACTTTCCGACTCGGTGTTTCCATTTAAATTTGCTTTCGATCCCTCATCACGATTCTTCGACGAATGGAGTTTGGAAAGGCGAAGTTGTGTCTTAGGCAAAGCACATGCCGTCTTGAGCGAGGAGGAAGTGCTGCGCCTGGAACTGGATCTCCCGGGTTTCAACTGGTTGCAGCAGAAGATCATGGGAGGGGGGAAAGACCAGCCTCCCTTGAAAAGAAGACGGAGCGAAGAGGAAGCTTCTGGAATCTCTCATCCGAGTGAGTTTTCTCTTCCATCTTCGCCTCCATGCACCCTCTGCATTGCTGGATGTTTTCAGCGACTTTTGGTTCATCGGAGGACCGGCTCGGCTTAACGTTCAATCTTCTCCGTCTGTAGAATCGAGACTAGTGCTAATTCTTGTGCGTGATGTTCTCTGTCTAGTGATCCCTAGAGGGATCAGATACATTTTCTTTTCTTGAGCTGGGGGATCATTTAATTTCGGAGTACACTGGTAAAAATTGTCGGAGTTTCCAGTCCTCTAGTAAACGAACTCCAGTACTTTCCTCAGATTTCTTCAAATAAGCAATTCCTTCTTGCATACGTCTTTTAGCATTTGGTTAATGAGATCGAGTTTACCCATTCGCATTTACCCACTCGTTCTCATGTACGACTTTGCTCTTAAGTTACAGTTTTCTAATCGTCAGTTCCGTTTCTCAGTGACTTGTGACTCAGTTTGAAATCCGTCCGGACGATTCCAAAAGTCTTCGTATCTACAGGACATTTCATTTAAGTTTTACATTTTTGAACGCTCATATCTCTGAGAGGATGCAACCAATCTTGATGAAAAATGACCACAACATAGAACAACGTTTTCCAAAATATTCCACAGTTTTTTAATCGCAGCGCCCTCTATCAGGTTGAAAAACTGACTCGACCAATCTAAAATCCCTCTGAAATCAGGATCATATCAATTTGAAAAAATCCTTTAAAGCTCGTCACTCATTATAATATGCCTTGATCCAGTAGCCCTGAAAGTTTCATGATTTTATCACATCTCCTTACTGAGATATCAATCGTCAAACCTTAGTCACGTAAATCATTTTGCAATCTGGGATAATGTTAGTGTGACTTAGCGACTAAGTCAGCGAAATACCATGGCTAGTCATTACACCAAAGAGAAAAAAATCTATATTTGGGAGCAATATCTCCTAAACAGAAAATCTCCTAGTGACAATTCAGTGGCCTTGAGGAATATTTGGAATCTGACAAGACGTGTTGCAATCAGCAGATCAGTGTTTTCAAACATTTACCAGAACTTTCGGACTTTCGGATCCGTACTCCACCCAAGGTCGACAGTGCCAACCCAAGAAAATATTGAGAGGGTGCTCACTGCCGCCAGCCAGAAAATGCGGGGTCTGAGAGGATCGGACTTGAGCTAGGGATATCCCAAACATCAGCGTGGAAGATATTCAAGAAGGATCTGAAGTTCAAACCCTATCATTTGAAGCTTCTTCATGAACTTAATGAGGATGACTTTGACCGTCGGGTGGAATTTTCAGAACTCTTTCTTGAACGTGACCAGGCTGATCCCTAATGGGAAGACAACATTCTTTGGAGGGATGAGGCGATCTTCAGCCTGGCTGAAACGGTCAATCGCCACAATTGTGTTTATTGGGACTCACAAAATCCCAATCGATATGTTGAGGCGGACAATTTGGGCGCACAAAAGGCCCTGGTTTGGGTGGGGATATCTTCGACCAGAAAGGTCGGACCTATTTTCTTCGATCAGTCGGTGACAGGTGCCACCTACCTCCCAATGCTTAGTGATGTCCTAGTGATCTCTCAATGGGAGGAATTTGAACGCCTCACCTTCCAACAAGATGGCGCTCCTCCCCATTACGCTCGAACCGTTCGAAATTTTCTGGATGAGACCTTTCCGAAATGGATTGGTCGTCGTGGAACCGTCGAATGGCCGGCAAGATCTTCGGATATGACTCCCCCTGATCTCTTCCTCTGGTGATATCTCAAGGATCAGGTTTTCGCCCGTTCTTCCAGGGATATTCCTGAGCTGGAAAAAATCCTTAAGGAGGAGTTCGACACCATCCCTCAGGATATGGTTCAGAAGGCCTGTCGCTCAGTCCTCAATCGATGCCAGGTTTGCATTGAGATTGACGGCAAGCAAATCAAGCTTCACAAAGGATAATCTCCGGATTGTGAATTTTTGCTGCTGGATTGCGTTGTGGAGGCAAGGGAAACCACTTGAAAAAACTCCCAATGGGATGAACAACGGCTACCTCCATTTTGGTTCATCCTGGGTAACACTAAATCCAATTGGAAGACGTCAGCATTTTTTGACATCACATTTGAAATTTGATATCTCAGGAAGGATATGCGATAAAATCATGAAACTTTCAGGACTACTGGATCAAAGCATATTGTAATGAATGATGAGCTTTGAATCAATTTTATGAAATTGATATGATCTTGATTTCAGAGGTTTTGGTAGAATCAGTTTTCAACTTGATAGATGGCGGTACGATTAAAAAACTCTGGAATATTTTGGTAAACTTTGTTCTACAGTATATTTTGGTCAATTTTCAAGATTGGTTGCATCCTCTCAGAGATATTAGCATTCAAAGATCAACAATTTAAATGAAATGCCCTGTATATTTTATAATAATAATAATAAAATGAAAATAAGAAAATAAAGAAACCGAACACCCTATGTCGTAGCCAGTTTTGTGAATGTCAAAGAGCGATAATTACGTGTTCAGATACGCCTTTGTGAACCCAGCATACTCTTGCAGGGTGGGAGCGCTGCACCTCCTAAAAGGAGGTCCAGTACATTGTCTAGGATATCCTCCTCAATCCTGTGACGAGATATCTTCACATTTTCAATATCGGTTCTAATATACATGACGTGGAAAAATAAAAGCAGCGAGGCGAATTATGGTTACAAGACAACCCATGCTTTTTTTTCAGAAGGAAAACAACATTGAAACGATTTTCAAACTGACGTCAGGAAACATTAAGCTGAAATTTAAAACTACACATGAAATTTGAGTTCAGGAAAATATGTTTGCCTGCTGACAATAGTAAAGTGACTAAATGGTCCAATTTATGCTTTAATTCTTGTCGACTCTAAAGAATGAGGGAAAAGCTCATATCGTCTTCATGATCTTATATACTGAACATGATATACTACCGAGTTTGTTTGCCCTTCGGGCAAACAAACTCGCTATTGTCGCGCCTTCGGCGCTCCATTCCCTGGATAGTGATTAAAACATTTTAAAAGTATAGTCTACTCACGGCCAAAATTCTCGGATATGGAATCCCCATGACACTTTCATTGCGGGTAGCCATAAAATGATCAACTAGAATTGACACGTGAGTGCCACCCTTTTGGGAAAGAATGCGCAGGGTTGTCAGATTCTGTAGGAATCCTCCCATGGCCGTCACAATATCCCCAGGGCACTAACACGAAGAAAAAGCATAAAAATCCATATTAAGCGTTGACAACCCTATCTATTTATACAACACTTCCCATTATGGGCAAGGGCAAAACCTATGAATTTATTGCACGAAACCTCATCCGTCAAGCTTATTAGTTGTCTTTATACTGAAGCATCGGAGAACTTTGGTCGGGAATAGACTATATATGCCCGTCGGAATGTGTATCGAGAAAGAACAAACCGAAATTTTCATCAGAATAATTACTCCTATTGTTTCTGGTGTGCCTAACTTCAAATATCTTCATAATCTGCCCTGAGGGGTCTCTATTTATATATTTAAAAAATAGGACTAGTACTCAGCAATTGAACAGGTACTTCTGCTCCAAGTTTCAACTTTCCTTAATTCTTTCCTTCATTGAATCAGAAAGGTTTCTGGAAAATGCACCTTTTGCAAAAAAATATCCCCTCAAGGGTTTTAAATAACAATTAACATTTTCACTGAAATCAGTACTCGGAGCACAACGTGCATACCAAGTTTCAATCTTATCCGTTTGCTCTTATTGCTGGTGCAAAGATATATTTGAAAAAGCCGATACAGCCAAAAGCTGTGCCCATGCACCACAAAACTTAAATTTTTCTGAACTCACTATCACCTCAGTTATTGCTGTGCACATTTCACATTTCCATCTCTGTACAATTCAGTGGACAAAAAAAATTATTTGAAAACGTCACCCCTAAAGATATGCCCCCAGGGCATGCATCCAAAACTTGACATTTTTTCTGAATTCAAGGTCTCAGTAGGTACGTCCATGTCACGTTTCAGCTATCCATGTTAATCCGTTTGACGAAAGCAAAAAAATATTTGAGGACATCTCCCCCTGAAATTTGTGTCCCTAGGGCATTTACCTCCAAATTGTGAATTTTTCTGCATTTAGGTTCCCAATAGGTACTTATGTATCAAGTTTCACCTTTTTATCTCTGGCCAATTCGGTAGGATAAAAAAAAGTATTTGAAAACGTCACCCCCAAAAGCATACCTCCAGGGTATGCATCTGAAATTTGACATTTTCCCTGAACTTTGTGTCTCAGTACGCACGTCCATGCCAAGTTTAAGCTTTCCATGTCTCCGTTTGACTGAAGCAAATATATCTCATTAAAAACATATCCCCCAAAGAGGCGCCCCCAGGGCATGTACCTATAAAGTCGTATTTTTTTTATGAACTCTGCATCCCAAAATGTACACATGTACCAAGTTTTAGGTTTCTAGCTTCTTTAGAAAATGGTTAGAATTAGCGTCAGTCAGTCACGATCGTCTATATATATTAGATTAAGTGGAAATATTCCGAAATACTACCACCCAAGCAGCATGTTTATCTTCATATTATATACAATTAATTTAAATTTTTTGTCCATTTTATATCTATTTCACGCATACCTTCATCAACATATGGTCAACATGCTTGCAGAAATGTCACCGCAAGAAGTATGCAGAAACGTCACCGAGAGATTTACATGAAATAGACATTCACGTTCACATCCCAAGCTGCAAGCTTATATAAATGTCATATAAAATTGACACCCATATAGGATGTTTACACTGAGGGATAAAACTGTCCGCAGGTTCGGTAACATCGGCTTTGGGACCAATTATCTCGGTATAGGATAATTGAATTAATCTGTGCGACATACACTTTGTAGCCAAACTCTTCTTCAATAAGTATTTAAAGTTTCATTAGAATCCATGCCGCGGTTATGGAGAAATCTCAACTAAAAGCAAATGACTGCATTCGGAAAGTTTTGTCCCCTATGCCGAAACTTCAACTTTAT